CATGGATGATTCATGAGCAGAACACAGGCCGAGCAGCAATTTGAAGATGCCTTGAACTTTGAAGCTTGGAAGAGGTGCTGGGAGCAGAGGCTGTTAGTGAGGTGCAGTGGGGAAAGGGTCAGACACTGAAGTGAAGAGGTTCATAGGCTGTCAAGAGAAAACTGGAGGTTGAATTAATAAAGGAAGCTTCAGACTTTTCAGCTCTGAGTCACACAAATCATGAAACTACTTGAAATATTTCACCTACTCATACATCTCCTTTATCTTTCAGCTCTTCCCTCTTTTTGGTAGTTATTCTCCTGTTCTGCAGTCTTTCAAGTCACATCCTGCACTGATCTCCTGCTTCCTCATCCCCTGTTCCCATTTTGGTATCTTTCTGTTACTGAGCCTACATTACATTTTGCAGACCTTTCACATCTCGGAAATGCTGCAAGCAGTGCTTCAGAGCTTAAGTCACTGGATATTTGGTCTATGTGATGACACAGTACTAAAACAGCTGGAAATTTTTCTTTAAAAAAAAATTACTTGAGAAACAAAATAAATGGTGAGGGGGTTTTTTTTAAGTGTGGGTTACTCACATACATGCCCCTGATGTATATGGCTCTGATAATAAACTTATGCTATTTATATCCACAGCAAGTTGGCAATATTCAACATTTAAAATGCAACTGAGGTGGAAAGGAGCTAACAACTCAAAAATCTGAAGCAAGTTATTCAGCCAAAAGTAGATCCCTAGCAGCTTTGAGGTGTGAACAGGCTGGTTTTGTTTTGAAGTTTGGTGAACCAAAGCAGAAAAAGGTGAGAGATGCCCAGACTTCTGCAGTGTACCTCCAGCCCACAGCATGGTGCCTGAATGGTCACCTGCCACACCTGTGCTGTGGGTGAAGTGATGAGGGGCACACATGTCCCTTCTTGGGACTGGAAAACATGCCCTGAGACTGCTGTGAGGCACTGAAGTGGTAGCGTGGTGCAAAGCCTTCCTCAGCCCTTCTCTTTTACAGGGTCACTGCACGTTACCTTTAAAGCCAGAAATAAAAATCTGCCAGGCCAAGCTTCTCCATGTCAGGAGCCTGAGAGCTGCCAGGATCTCAGAGCATGACAGAGGCAGTCTGTGATTCATATGCATTGGGCCTGGAGTAACATTTGGCAAACTAAAATTTGTAGGATACAATTCTCATGAGAGTATGGGACGGGTCCCACAGAAAGGGACCTCCTTTGATGTTCATCTGGATATCATATAGGGTGGTGGCCAGTGCACAGCTCACCTCCTCCTGAATGGGAGAAGAGATGTTACGAAGAAAAACCTGCTTGCCTGCTTTCTGAAGAGATGGGAAGAAGAAAATCAACTCAGTTTCTGAAAGGATAGGAAAGCATCGACCCCCATCCCCACTTCAGCAGGACTGCCTGGGAAGGGGAAGTGATGTTTGGCTGTTTGTACAGTGGGTGTTGTTTTGGAAAAAACTTGCTTTCTTTTAAATGCCTCCGGCCAGGTCAGGAAGAGCAACTATTCCAAACAGACTGCTGCAAGCAGCTGGCTTAGGATCAGTGCTTGTCAATGACCTGGCTCCTGCACCCCAGTATTCCTCAATTCTATCCCTGCACTGCCTATCTTCATTCCATGCAAGGAAAACCAAAGTGGCATCTATCAATTATTCCAACAGAGTCAAGAACTTCTAATACTTAAAGTTCAAAATAAGAGTTTATTATGCTTTGTCAGGAAATGGCTGATTCCAGATAACTCTTTTTTGCAATATCTACTTAAAAACTGATTTGAAACACATACAGGCATGAAACAGCTTGTATTGTTTTTACTGCATTTCTTTTGATTGTGGTACACTGTGGAAGAAAAACAAACACATTCAAAAAAGCAGACACTCCCAGGCTCCACATCTGTAAAGTGCAGTAGAGTTGTTTAGGTCTCCAGACTCCATCCTATATCTATTTAAACATAGACATTTCTATATTTATATGAAGGCTCTTGCAAGTGAGGGAACAAAACCTGGTCCAGACTCCACTCTGGACGGTATATTCAAACTTGGATCTCTTGCTAGAAGCACCAGAGAGTGTCTCCTTGGTTTTGATTTATAACAGACCAAATTATAAGTGTTTAATCTGGAGAACTGGAAGTCTCCAATGTCTGCACATGGTCAGTGGACCTGATATTTCTTTTGTGTTACCGTTGCCGTCTGTGAGAGACAGGAAATCCAGTGACGTAGGGGCCAAACCTGTTGCAAATAGGGACCACGTTCCCTCAGAGCCCTGCTCTTCCTTCAGTGACATTTTACTGAAAGTAAGATGCTCTGAACACATTTTGGGTGCAACACACTGTTCTGGCTTTTTTTTTTGTTTTGTTTTGTTTTGTTTTTTTAATGAAACCATTTTGGCAAATACTTCCTGACCAGCTCTATTTTGCTCTCTGATTCCCATCCCTTGAATGGTACAAACAAGAAATAGAGAGGCCTAGCTACTATCTACTCTTTTTTCCTGACAATTGTTAGTCCAAATTGTGTTATCTGGCAGCTGATAATTTTTAAACACATCGCAGGGCATATTTATTTCTCTTCTAACAGTGTTCACAAGTTATCTTGCTTAGTTAAAAAACAAACAAAAAATCTGAGCACTGGCATAATTTTACCCTTTCTTAACATAATCAAATTACTTCTGGTTTTACCCCAGTCTGTCACATTAAGTCCCACTTTATTGAGTTGTCTGACTGCTATTTGTATTGTAGCAGTGCCTAAAGACTCAGACAAGGAACGTGGTCCTTTTGTGAAGCACATACACTAAGGATCCATTATTATTTTGGGTGTAGATACACTTCTCTTCATAATTACATCCTGAGCTGTGACAAAGCGGCTTCCAGGCAACACAACTGTCAAAACTACATTGCAGGGCATTTGGAAAGCACAAATCAAGTGAAATAATAGAAATGTTTGGACCACAAGGTATCACACAGAACAGCCAGTGCTTGTCATATTTCTTATATCTAATCAGCCTTGGCTAAAGCATCCTTATGTCATAATGCCCTTTGTCCTTGCAAAAGGGTTGGTGCTGGTGTTGCCCGTTGGGGCTCCCAGATCTCTCTGGTGTTTTGAGGTCTGCAGCACACTTTTTTGCCTAAGTTAGGGCTGCAATTGTCCTATCCCTTTTCTGTCTATTGTGTCAGCAATAGGCATCATGCAATGGGCCATATCACTCCGCTAAAACAGGTGGTTATTTTTTTACACCTAACCTTTCAGATCTGGCTAATGTTATGGACAATGAGTGTTGATACCAGCAGGAAAGAGGTGGTGGCAGAATGTGGCTGGAGCAAACCCTGTCCTTTACAAGAGTACTGTGTTGGCCTGATTCATGCTGCTCATCAAATCACACACACAGGATGCAGTTAAGCCGATTTAACGACAGACAGCTACTGAAAGGAGCAGTTCTGCTTTACCTCACTTCCAGGTTTCTGCTTTCCTCAACCCTGCAGCTGTGTGGTCACAAGGTGGATCAATTCAGCTGTCTGCCCAATGGAAAATTCATTATTTTCTGAGGTGTTATTTTTCCACCAGATCAATCAACTGAATAGAGTCTGATGGTTACCAGATCCCACGTAAGGGCTGCAAAGGGAGTACACACCATGTGTTGCAGGCAGGACCAACGTTTCACAGCAGCCTGCTGTCAAGTCAGTGTAGCCAAATGGCCAGGCTGCTGCTGCTGCATTCAGATGCCATACTGATGCTGGAAGGGGCTATTCTGTGTCTCAGAACCCCTGACAGGTTGAGCACATCTGCCATCTTTCTACTATGGGTGCCTCTGTAATCCCAGAGAAGCTGGTTTAGGGAGCACATTAGTGATGAAAAAACCTATTCCTTTTTTCCCTCAAGGTTAGTTTCATGGTTAAGCCAGTTCCTTGTAGGGCTGGAGGAGTACTAGGGTCAGTCCTGTAACCAGTGGGACCTCTTGGCTGGGACAAGGTAATGTGGCTGTGAGATTGGCTTGACTATAATGTCATTTACTGAGACATTCAGGCATTCGTGAATTCAACCTGGATGAGCAGGTCAGCCTTATTTGTAGCTCCGAGGCAGAAGATGTATGTAAGGGAGCCCCATATTGCGATCAGCTCTCATCTAAATAGAATAGAGTCTGACAGAGAGAAAGCAATACCTGTACCAGAAAGCAATATCTGTATCAGAAAAGGCTGATTCCAGAGACTTAAATAAAGCCCCCATAATTCATGGAACTGAAGGAATTGGTTCCTGGCATCGAGGGCTCTTTCAGGGATTAGGATTACCTGAATGACTGGAAGCAAGTCATTGACCTGAACTGCTTGGTTTCTCCAGTATCAATGCTGTCATGGAGGATGAAACACTTTGACTCAAGAATCCACTGCGAAAGGAACTGATGAGGTCTTCAACCCTTGCAGACATAAATAATGCCTCTGGATCATAGGGTGACCCAGGCAAGTGGGAACCCAGGAGGCTTCCAGCCCAGGCAGGCGGAGTGCTTGGGGGGGGTCACACCAGGCTGCTTGGGGCTTCCTCTAGCCTGGTCTTGACAGCCTCCAGGAGGAAGCCGAGGCCACCCGGGTCCTGGAGGAGCCCGAACCCCTCTCGTCTGGTCTCGGAGACCCGCCGCCTTTGAGCGGGCTGGCCACTGTCCCCCGTGTTCTCACCGCGGGTGCGGGGTCTGTGCCGGGCGGTGGGGCCACGGCTCAGGCGGCGGTCCCTGAACGCAAAGGAGTTAACAGGACTTTCTCCCTCTTCCCGCCCGCGCCTCCTCCACCCTCCTCATTACCTGCACTTTATCACCGCGGGAGCCGCGGCGTGGAGCGGGAGCGGTGGAGGCCGGCGGGGCTTCCTGCGCCGCCCGGGGCGGCGGGGCCGGGGCGTGCGGGGGAAGGTGAGCGGGCGGTGCGTGCGAAGGAGCGCCTGACCGCCCGCCCGTGTGCCTGCCTGTGGGTGGGAGCGGCGCTGGGGCTGGGGCGACGCGAGGGGAAGGCGGGCGGGCAGAGCGGGAGGGCGAGCGGGTCTACGCGCCGCAGCCCGGCAGGGATGCGGCATGGCCGTGGGCTCCGTGAAGATGCCGTCGCCGTGTGAGGGCGCGGAGCTGGCCCGAAGCTGGAACCCCGGCGGCGGAGCCCACGAGCCGGTGCAGCTGCGGCAGAAGCTGCGGGAGCTGCCCGCGCTGCTGCGGAGCGGGCTCACGCTGCGGAGGAAGAGCGCGGCCGCCGCCGGCCGGGTGAGTCAGTGAGGGAGTCCGCGGGCGGCCCGGGCAGCGCCCCCGGCGCCTGCCCGGGGGGCCGCCCCTGCCCGGCCCTGCCCTGCCCTGCCCGCCGGGCCGCCGAGCGGGAGGCCGCGGGCTGTCGGTGCTGGCCCTCCGCGGGGGGCGGGCGGGGACGGAAGAGGGAGAAAGGGAGGAAGGGAGGGAAGGAGGATGCCCGGGAGGCGGCGGGGCGGCACCTCGGCAGTCCCTGGGAGAGGGTGCCCGCGGGTGGCTACGGGCTCGGCCCACCGCTGCCAGCTCTGGTGAAAAATGAAATAACAGGAAGGGTGAGCGCGCGTCCCTGTCCCATCTCCGGGTCCCTCGCGTGCCCTTCCCTCCTTTTCCCCTGCTCTCCGCTGACAGGAGGTACAGCGCGGCTGTGCCCGGACACCAGTGCACACACGTGTTACAGCAGCGAACTCCAGTGTGCCCGGGAGAGTGTGAAGCCGGGATGGACACACCCGGCCCCCCGCCTCGCGTGCCTCGGGGACTGAGGCCGTGGGATCAGATGGGCATCGCGGAGATGCCTAGCCGAATTTCACTGAAGTTCACACATTTTTCAGAAGGCTGGTGGTGCGGTTTTATAGGTCAGGCAGTGCTCCGGTGAAATACAGCCTGACATTCCTGTGGCTGGGAACTGTGGTGGTAAGCGGCCACTCGCTCTGAGCTCTCCCTGTTGTGACTGGAGCCATATCAGGGGAGTGGCATTGCCATCAGGTCAATGACGGGTCGATCAGGTCAAACCTTACTTGCGGGCCAAGGCTGGATTGCAACCCTGCGCCTGAACACTCTAAATGAAAGGGTGGGTTTACCTGCATGGGGTTGGGTTTGTCTGTGCTGTAATCAGGCGAGCTGCTGTGTGGTTTTGGTGCACTGATAAATACCTGTGCAGGGAATTAGCGGGGGGAGGTCCACATGGTGTGTGTTTGTACCCTCATCAACTTTGCAGTACTTTGCCCATGTAAATAAATGCTTTCTCTGCATAGGGAAGTTGTGAAATATAGTAGGGTGTGAATTTCAAACTTCCTGGGTGAATGCTTTGTTATGAAAAGGTATACATGCAAGGAAGATTAATTTCTTTCCTCAAGGACATTCAACCCACAGAATAAAGACTAGTCTGTATGGAGATGCCTAATGATTTTTATTGTCAGGTGAATTAGTAATTCACCTAAGTTGTCCATAAGAACACAGAGCCAAGTGGATTCAGTTAGTTTTAAATAGCCAGGTCTTGTTCTGCTCTAAGAAGATGTTTGCAACAGACATCTTTCTTCCAACAAAGATGAGTCCTATCGTGAATTGAGTGTACTTTGTTCCACTTTTAAAGCATACTGCCAAAGAAGTGAAGTGTGCAGGGAGGATGAAAGAAGCAGTGCAGAACTGCTGCTGGTAACAGTGTTCATTTGCAGGCAGGTCTGAAACACTGCTTTAGCAAAATAAATTCATGAGGCTTCAGGGAGACACCATGCAGAGCAGCCTCAGCTTTACTCTCATGGCTATTCCTCACCACCACTGAAAGCATTTGACAAGTGAGTGGTACAGCAGTTACTCTGTAAATATTTGCAGTGGGTGAGTTGACATCCTGGTGAGAAGCCTGGGTAGCTCCTGGGTCATGCAGCTCCTCATTTGTGCTTGCTGAAGCCTTGGTCCCCTCTTGTTTCGCACAGTCCCAGCTGATGTTCTGTGTTACAGACCAGCAAACACAGTGTGACGGATTTACTGGTGGCATCACCTATGGCTTCTCCTCCCGGTACCCTGTGGGTCATCTTGTAAAGTTTTTCTTGAACTGTCTGTCCTAGCAGGAAGAAGACTGGAGAGAGGATAGGGAGTTTGTAAGGCAGTCTGGAGTCAACCCAGCAGATCTATTAGGAAGAAATGCTTTACATGTGGGGGTGGTGAGGCACTGGAACAGGTTGCCCAGAGAAACTGTGGATGCCCCATCCCTGGAATTGTTCAAGGCCAGGGTGAATGGAGCTTTGAGCAACCTGGCCTAATGGAACATGTCCCTGCTGATGGCAGGGGAGTTGGAACTAGATGATCGTTAAGGTCCTTTCCAACCCAATCCATTCTGTGATTCTGTAATCCTGTATCAGTGGGCGATGCTGCATGGAGGTGCTGTGTGGTACCAGCAGGACCTTCAGACCAGTGTCTTGGTCCTGTGTGGAGAATGGAAATGCTGTGCTCTGCCTTCTCTGGGTTTGCAGGGACTCTCCTGTGAGTGCCTGGTGGGGTGTTCTGAGAGGTAGATCATACTAAGAGTCCAGCAGTGTTGTCGATTCACTTGTTCCCTTTGAAGACAAAGTGGGCACCTGGAGTGCATGGAGGCTCTCTCCCACATGTGCTATTCTTCAAGGAGCAGTTTGTTTCTGTTAGTAGTACCCTGTGTTGATTCCTGTCTGCTCTATGCATGTGTCTTTTTCCCGTCAAAAATGGACTTTTAGGGGCATGACACTTTTCCCATATTTCTATTTAATATGGAGAATATGACAGTCATATGAAAATGACAGTATTTGGGAGAGGAAAGGGATATGTTAGAACAGTAAAATGTAGCATTTTTTATACACCCCACTCCTATGGACACTTTCCCTTTTAAACATAACTCTTAAATTTAAAAAGTCTGAAAATAAGTTTGGGGAAAGGTTGAGTAACACAAATGTGAAACAAAGATTCCTTTTTTTCCCACCTCAACAAAATATTTCAAGTTAATCCAAAGTTAATTTTCCGAGGGTTTTGTTTGCTTACGAAAAAAACATAGTCTGATCTTCCTCTCCAGTGACTTTTTCTTTGTGCTTTTTTTGCTTGTTCAAACACCAAGCTGAGAGTCTTATTTGTCCAGCTGGTTTCACCAGGAGTGTTGCTCACTTAGGTGAGCTGTTTTCAAGTAAATGCTGACCAGCTGAAATTCTGGCTTGTTTAATTTCCTAGAAAAATATTATGACCCCTGAACAGGGGGTCTGCTTCTGATGCTGACTTGCTCAGGGACTGCCTGCAGTGCAGTTTGATTCCACATCTATAAAGCACAGATAATCTACATGTGTGCATGCCTGAGGACTATGGATAATAAAATATAATGGAAGTGTTAAGGGTACTATAATTGTTTTAAGGATGTACTTCACTGCATGCTGTTCAAATACTTCCTGTGCTCCAGGGGGAAGGAAAACATTGGGTAGTAGAGGGTAGTATACATTTAAAGAACTGATTACATTTTGCAAAGCAGTATGGGGTGGAATAAATTTTTTAATCTGTTTGGATCTCTCAGTCCTTGGCCCTTGGCACTAGACTATCTGAAAATTGTGACCGGAGATGGGGATAATTGAAAATACAGTGTGACAAAATAAGATTTCCTTCTCGGTTCAGTGACCCCAAAACTGGAGAGCAGGTAGGTATTTTTTGCTTTCTGTGTTGGGATACATCCAATACTAATACGTATAAAGAACTTGGAGGTGGAAAAACAGCTTGTAGAAAAAGTTGTAGCAACCATCCTACCTGGACATTTCTATGCTGTGTATTGAATACACTCCGGTACACTCCACTGCTTCAGTCATTTAGATAAAACTGACCTCCAGTTCCTTGGCTAGGGAAGCCCAATATTTTTTTTAAAGCTCCTGAACTTCTACCTGGATGTTGGTCTTGCCCTTGAGGGTGTTTTTTTCTTAAATTCAGTCTTAGGGCAGGCACAGCACAGAGACCCAAGATGGCACCAGTGATCAGACTGCACTTGTACAGTGAGCTGCAAGGTGTAGGTTTTACTCGTCATCATCTGCTTGGAGGTTCTTTATTTCTGCTGCAGAAAATAGCAGAAAATGACCCAGTCTTTTGCTGTGGGAGTCGAGTGTGTGTCAGAGCTTGTGCAGAGGCAGAGGAGGGATCTGTTGTAGTGGGTCATTGTGCCCTGTGAGACTGTTCCCCTCTGCCACGTCCTTTCTCAAAATCTTTGGAAAGACCCTTCTGTTTTCCAGTTGGCCTCCTTGAGTTATGTGTTAAGTGTACATGTAGTAAGCATGAGTACTTTGCTTGTGAACTGTCTTTGCTGCTCTTCCTGGTGCCTGCTAAAGATATTTTCTTCTCCTCCCTTTTTTCTTGTAATTAGTGATGAAATACAGTTCCCTGCCTCTGGAAGCACCAGCAGTGAGGTCCTGCAGGCACATTAGTGTAGCAGTCACTCCATCATGCCAAAAGTCCTTTTCACCACACTCAGTTGCACTCCTAATGGAACTAATGCTGCTCCTGAGAGAGCAGAGAAGTGCTCAGAAGGAGGAGGAATTGCCTTGCACATACACAGACACACACATTTTTAATCACCTCTTCTGCTTTCTGGGCTTATATTTACACACAGATAAATACTGTTATATGTGAGCATTGATGTTGCTCTTTGTCACAGTAGTGGACCTGGAAAACCTTTTGGTTTTGGTGTCAAACCCCATTACTCTGATAGTGTGAAAGATCTTGCTGTTCGGTGCAAACCTTCGCCATGGGATGTACCTTTTGGCTTGATGGAAGTTGAAGAGATACTATGACTATTTTCTCTTCTGAGACCTGTAATTACTTTTGTGAAGTTCCTAGAGGTCTTGGGCCAGGCAGGTGTTCTCAGACTGTCTTCACCTTAGCTCTGCTTTGAGCAACTACTTTGCTGTATGTTTACGTCAGGATGTAAACTGACTGTAGGGTTACGGGTTGAAAATTAACCACAGGAGTTAGGGTACAGCTGCTAAAAGTCTTCATGAGTTCAGGGTGAGACTGGAGAAGTTCATGGAAGAGAAATGTATTGAGCATACATAATCCTCATCAGGCACAGAAGGTTCCTGAGCTGAAAATAGCTGGAGGGTTGGAGAGTATTAGAGATATCTATCATATATTCTGGCACTAGCAGTTGTTATGCTGTTGGAGACAACTCTTCTTTGGCAGGGGAAAAAAATCAAACTATATGCAATCTGTTTTAATTAAATGAAGTATCCGATCCTCTCAACCTACATTCTGCT